CCCACTCTTGAAGTTGAAACCTATAAAATGAAAGAAAAAAAAAGGCGTAGAATGAGAAATAATTCCTCTGAAAAAGAAAAGAAGAATTATTATTTAGAATATTCATCTATTGCAAATAAAATAGCAAATTAATGATCCAAATACTAATATAGATTTTTGTAAATTTAGCTCAGGAAGCCCATTTTTTTCTCCTCGAAAGTTGTGCATAAGATGATAATAATAAAAGATTGAAACTTTAACAGACTGTCTCATTAATGCAACAGCACTGGTGTCACTATTGTCGTAAAGTGTTTTTTTTTCAGTTTCTGTTATGTTCAAGCAAAGTCCAGTTGGGCTCCCTGTGTTTCATCATCGTGGCATATAGCGTTGACAAAGTATCGTCGTATGGTCGTTTATGGTCAAGTATAAGATTACCGATAAATTTAAATTAATTTGAAGTCGAATATCCATAACGACGGTATTCCCTGTTAGAAGAATCCACAAATTACTAACCTCTGCTAAGATCATGTGGTTTTAACGGCTTCAAACTTTGACGACCGGTTTTTCAAAATTGGGGCAAGAATATCTGTATTTTTTCTAGCATATGAGGTATCCTGCCTTTCCAGCAAGACCTAAGCTTTCTTTTATCATGATGAAGAGCTTAGACACGACAGACAAAGAACTTAATGATCAATGGCAAGGTGGGAAGAGACGTGTTTGGATTATGGCGATGTTTGTTGGCACTATGTTCCTCTATGCAGCACGATCAGCCGTTCCCCTGTGTATGGCTGCCATGAGTAAAGATATGTCTTGGGATAAAGAAGCTGATGTACGTTTACTTCAATGAGATGAAGTGTTGCATTGGGGAAATTGTTCATTCATTTTGTAATTAAATTTAAGCTTATCAGACATAAGATCATTTAATACTACCACTACCACATACCATCAACATCATCATATCACTATTACCATCACTTTATTATCATCAACACCATTCTCATCAATATTATCATCAACATCATCATCAGTGATTAACTCATTAAAATAAGCTAAACTAATCATCAATAATTCCATTTGTGTGCAACCATGGCACCCCAATATTATTGTTTTAAATGAATATAAGTTTGGTACATGTGCTTCATGGTTGCGCACAAACATTAGTATTAAATTATCCCTGAAGGAGGGGAGGACTCTGGGGTAAAAGTACCGAATATCTATTCAATATCATTATAATCATCATGTATCATGACTTGTGTTTTTTGTGTACGTTTTCTGCTCTTATGAGAGATTGACACGCTTCTGGTTTTTGATGTTATGGATCAGTACACCTATCACAAATACCATTATGTTGGAGACATCATAATTATTTGTTTTGCTCGATCGCTCTGCCATAGACCATTATGTCATTCACTTGATAATAAAACTCTTTCTTTAAGTTGTATCCATATTCATGTGTCTTCTCATGTGCAACCGTTCAACAAAGAAATGATACTCTAGGGAATGACACATGGTCTGAAAAGGGTAAACATTATGTCCAAGGAAATTTTAAGTGTCTAAAAATCACTCAGAGTTGTGCTACTCCTTAAACTTCTTGAATTTAATTCATGATGTTTTCAAGGGCACTTGAAAAGCTCTTGAATTTTATGATTTTAGCGAAATTCCTTGAATTTTTGCTTTGATCATTACTTGCGTGGTTCTCAACTAGTATCTAGTCAGAAAGATTGGAAAATCTGAAAGTCAGCCATATGCAACCACTATGTAAAACCTTGGCATATTTAGCTGAATTCACTCCTTGAAATTTCATTTTTGGGTCCATATACTCCTTGAATAGTCCTTGAATTTTAAGTTGTTACCTCAGCACGAATCATATCAACACATTCTCATTTTCAATTTTTCCTTTTTGTAAGTTTCCTATTTTATTATTTTCAGGGTGCAGTAATGTCGGCATTTTTTTGGGGATACACTCCAGCACAAATCATCGGAGGCTGGTTAAGTGACAAGTATGGTGGGGAGTTGGTATTAGGTTATGCAGGGATTGTTTGGTCACTCTGTACGATGATTGTACCATTTCTTCCAGCTGGACCAACGTTATTTTTTCCTCCCATTGCTATTATGGTAATTTCAAGAGTTTTTACTGGATTATCACAAGGTATTTTTTTTCATTTTTCAGTTCTCAATTTATTTTCTTTTATTTCCTTGCATCTTTTGTAAGTGAGAATGAGTTAGATTTTGTTCTAAGTTTATTAATATATTTTTATTCATTCAACATCCTGGTCTAAGGTTTGGTAGAATTGTTTTTTATCCATTACAACTGGATTTGATTTATTTATTGGTGTTCAATCAAAGCCAGAACAGAGTGCCCCTGCCTCTCTTGTCACATCTTAGGAAAGCACTGTAGACCCCTTGTGGCTGATTTGCAGAGTAGCTCAATTTGAAAGAGAAAACTTCATACTTTTACTCTCTTGAGAATTGAGAATTTATATTTTTCCAATTTGAGTTGCTTCACATGAGAATTGCTGCCTGATTTATTCCATTTTATTTCCTTGCTACTGTAATTCAATATCTCTGTTCGTTTATTTATTTAACAGGTTTACACTATCCTTCTTTGACAAACATTATTGTCAAAAGAATACCATTAAAAGAAAGAAGTTTGTTTACAAGCTCAATATTTTCAGCTGGACCAGTTGGGTAAGCAAGATTAGATGACAATGCAATGATTGACACCAGCAACACTAGAATGAAAAACTTTTGAATAATATACCCTTTGCTTTGGTTCCCAACAAAAGAGACCTGTTTCTTCACTAGTTTTTAAAAATCTTATGATGTAGTTTTTCATTTATTTTCTGGATCCCCTGCTACAAAGTCCTGTAATACAAGGTCTATAGCTGGCTTTGTGTAAAGCTGCTGTAATAATAATTAACATTATTTACTGCGGTTTTCGATATTCTGCAAACTCTGTAGTTGCACACTGCATGCTGAAATTTGGTCTTTCTCTGCCGTCAATCAAAAATAATCAGTTGGTACCTTTTACATTTATGACTGGCGGCAGTAAAAACAATTTCACAATGAGCAGATAATGGAAAACCACAGTAAAGGGGGGTTATATTTAGAACAGTTATCCTACCATTTAAGTAAGAATTAAGGCGCTCCCTAAGAGAGATCTAGATATGATCTCAACAGATCGCTTTATATTTGCAAATTGGCAGATAGAGTTAAACAATTGTGTATTATATATATATATATATGTGTGTGATAATTCAAAGGCTTGATTATTTGGTTCTACTTGACTCTTTTGTTCCTCCTAGTAGTGAAGAAACCTCAATTATCTTGATGATATATACTAATTAAAATTGGGGTGTAAATGGCTCTGTGAATCATGGGAAGAGAAAGGGGTCTAGTTGGTTAGGGAGAGGCCTTGGAATCTCCAACAACTTCTGTGTGACCGGGTTTACTTTACAGGTCCATTTTGATGGATTGTGGTATTAACATCAGAAGATTGCGTTGAGAGTATGTGACTCTCACTAATACTATAGAAAACAGTAACACGCAACTTTAGCATATGGACCATACGAAGGTCAGGCTGAAATGGTTTATTGTTACAAATCACAAGTAATATAAGCATGGCTACAAAATGATTGACAGTTAATTGAAAACAAGTTTTAAACAGGTTTATAAACAGGGTGTGTTTGTTCTAATTTCCTGTGACGACTAAAGTATCCTATAACATGTTTACACAAGGATTAATTAACTAGTAGATTAACAAAGACAAACCCTTGCTGTCTTTAGCCCCGTTTACAATTAAATTCTTTACCATTATTTATTATGGACAAAATCGCAAAAAAATCGCAGCAAAAATCACCACAAAAATCGCTAGTGTAAACGGGGCTTTTCTATGACATCAGGCTCTCTTAACCTGGAACACAATTTAGTATTCTCCAAAAATACCTTGCTTTGCTATGTGAGCAAAATGAAACAAATGTTACATAAAACTATTAAATTTCGCCTGGTTACATGTGTATTACAGTCACCAAAACTCTTAGAAACTTATTTACCTTGTTGTAACTATAAGCTAATATAATTATGAATCCTTGCTTTCTCAGGACACTACTTATGGGAAGTGCTGGATCTATAGTCCTGGTATTATTTGGATGGCATAGTGTGTTCTTATTACAAGGATTAGTTGGTTTAACATGGGCATGGTTATGGAGATATTATGCAACTGGACAATATACACCTACAAGAACTGAACTGTCTATAGGAAATATCAAAATGACGGAAGCAACCGTTTCTGAAAAGGCTGCTCGCGTCAGTGTACCATATTCCACATTTTTCAAGCATCCTGGAGTTTGGTAGGGCATAATTCTCWATTATTGTTAAGCCATAAGGTGTGATTACATGAAGCAATTTTCTCTGCAACTTGTCTCACAATGGCGTTGCGACACAAGTTGCATGGAGCATTGCAGTGTGTAACCTACAGCACAATTTWAAAAAATGTTGCAAGACAAGTTGCAGCAATCGTTTCAAAAAGTAGAATTCGTTTCTACATTTTGGCAAGAGATTGCTTCTCTGTTGCACCATGTTAACACTCTTGCAACCTGTGTTGCAATGCTGTTATGAGACAAGTTGCAGAGAATATTGGGTTGACCATAGGGTATCCATTCAGGAAATCCTAATAGATATGCCGAGCAGTCTTTGGAGTCCCACAGTGGGGAACAGGCCACTCAGCTTTGGTACCCTTTGTAAACCACTGTAAGAGGTGTTTCAGGAAAGCAAGGGTGCAGGTATGGTGGTGAGAGTGCTTGCAGTGCCCATCAATGTGACCCAGGTTTGATTCCTGCCAAGCTCATTATGGTATGTGAGTAGAGTTCCTAGTTGGTTCTCTCCTGTGCCTTGAGGGTTTTTCTCCCAGTTCTCCAGTTTTCCTCCTAGCCCTTCTTGAAGATCGACTTCTAAATCCCATTTCRATCATGGGACAAGCTAGGGCCATGATTTGTGAAACCACTGGCTATTACTTGCTACCCTTGTCAATCGAAAGAAGTATATTTTTTCAATATATGTGACTAAGCTGTATTATGATCAGAAATAATTTGTTTATTTTTTATTTAGGGCTATCATAATATCTCAATTTTGTCAAGCTGGTGCRTTTTGGATTTTATTTTCATGGTTGCCATTATACTTTGAAGAAGTTTATCCCAATAGTAAGGTATTGCATTGTAATACATATCAAACTTCCAAAAAAATCATATTCATATTTCATATTTCTGCAGATAACCTATGATAAATAGACTGAGCGTGAGTCACTTTATTCCCTTKGTAACTAGCTCTGAAGTATACATCTGTCTCAAAAAAAGGTTGTTGCATGTTGCTTACTGAGCTTGCAGACAAAGTTTGGTAAAATTATATATTGTTGTGAGTATAGTACATATTTCAGGCTTGGTAGGTAACATGTAACGAAACCTTCTTCCGCCGTTTTTTTTCTTTAAAAAATGTAATTTTGTGTAAATAATTTTGTATATATGTAGTGTTTAAAGTGTATATGACACGAAAACATTCCATCATTTAAAATGTATAGTTTGTTAGTAATAATAAATATATCGTAACAAAATTTGTTTCAAAAGCTTATTTCTTGAGATATTTGCGAAA